ATTTAATACATTTTTTGTATCAGGGTAGTGCTATCTGCTCTACCAAATAACCTCTGAATTTCAATGATTTTAACTCAGTCACATTTGTTCACTCATGCCCATTGCTGGTAATGCTGGTCAACAGGTAACTTGGGGATTATGGCATCCCTTGTGACTCAAAGTTCCCCGTGTGAAGTTATCAGAAGGTGACGCATAGGGCATCCACACCTGCTTCTTCACCCCCCTTGATCCATACATGATATGTGTTCATTCTGCTCGGAGTCCACTAAGGAGATGTGATCACAGGGCCCCATCTAGATGCAAAAGGGCTGGGAACAGTGCCATTGGCTCTCTGGCCTCACCTGGTGACAAGTGGACTTACTGTGGAGAGGAAAGCACAGAGTGGGTGGACAGGCCACCTTCTATCTCACAGTTCCTCTCCCACTCTCCCGTGGGCCCCACTGGCTTTGTGCCATGCACGTTTGCACTGTTGCTGACACATGCTTTTAAGGTCTGTTCAGGAGACACGTTTGTCTTTTTCTCTCCCTGTGTCATGGTAAACATTCCAGTGAACCATGTTCAAGGAGCAGAAACATCCTCCTTGCTCAGTCTTGTTCACTTTCTTGACCGGATATTTTCAGCCAGCCCTGTTCACATGTGTGATCACTATATCTGCCCTGTAGATCAGTGTTTTACATACAAACAAAATGAAACTGAATAGACTGAGAGAACTTGTTGGCTTTCTAGATCCTCTTGCATAGCAACTAACGCTCCTAGAGTCCTAAAAACATCCAAAAGGAGTTATAGACCCTCCATTTATTGAGGACTATGCTTCTTACAATAGCCCTACAAGGGAGTTTTAATGATCTTTGCTTTGTTCTTTTAGGAAATGGAAGCTCAGAGAAGTTAAGTAACTTTCCCAAGAATACACAGCTAGGAAGAGGCAGCTACACAAGAATGATGTTTCTAGCAATTCTATTGAACTCTGTTAACACTTCCTTGAGGATTTTATTTGAAGAGTGATTGTTAAGTAACATGAATTATTTTTAGTCAAATAAACAACTTACATAATCAAATTAGAGTTGAAAATTACTGTGGTCCTTTCAGTATATTCATCTTGGAAGGCTACTGGTTTATGCCAGGAATCAAAAGACCCGATGACTCTGAGACTAGCACCTGAGGGTAGCAGAATGTGCAATGGGAGACAAACCAGGAGCCTGTTTCTGCCTCTGATCTTTTATTCAATAAATCCTTGTTGTACGACTGGGACTTAACCAATGCTTCTCAATCTTTAATGTACACACAAATCACTTGGGGCTCTTGTTAAAGCAGATTCAAATACAGCAGGTCTGGTGAGGGAACTTGAGACTCTGTTTCCAACAATGTCCCAGGAGATGCCAGTGGGAGCTATGTCCACCCCCTGAGGAAGGAGGACTTAATTCTGAATATTTCTGTAGGTTGGACTCAGGAAACATGTATTGAGGTCAACTGTGTGCTGGGCCGGTGTATTACAGAGGTGACTTTCTTCCTGTTCTTCAGCTAATAGATGGAGCACACTTGGCTACCTGTGATTGTGCTGTTGAGCATAAAATGCCATGATGGGGTGGGGGGCGGGAGGCTAGAGTTGGGGGTGACTGGCTATGCTTGGGATAGCCTCCATCAAAGTAGACTCTTAACACACAAGTGCAGACTTGAAAGACAGCCAGAGTTTAGTAGGGAGCAAAAGGTAAAAAGAAATCTATGCCCGAGAGCAGGCATGTCATGCACAAAGACGCAGGTACATGAAGAATGGAGGGCTCAAAGAACCTTGAAAAATGAGATGACATTGGAACACTGAGCATGTCTGGCATGTTCATGACCTTGGCTCCCAGGGAATCCAGTTTTTCTTTCAATAGACTGTAAGCCCCATCAGGTCTGTGATGGTTCTGTCTACTCACTACTGTGTCTCCACTACCTGGTGCATAGTAGGCATTTAATTAATAAACTTTTGAATGAAACGTTCTTGCCATAGATAGATACTAATAGTTTTGAATGTACGGATCTATAAAAGGGAACGAGTTGAACTAGATGAGTTAAGCACCCTTCTGCTTCCCACCTGCCATAGAAATGACATTTTTTTCCCTTTACTTCAAAAGTAGTGTTGTTTAGCAATAAAGAGTATGGATGCCAGAACCAGGCTGCATGGTTCAAATCCTAGCTCTTCATGACCGTGGGCAAGTTACTCAGGCCTCAGTTATCTTGTCTGTAAAATGGAAATGATCCTAACAGATTCTCCCTCATAAATTATGTGGAATAAATGAGTGAATATACGTAGAGTTCTCAGAGCGATACCAAGTCTGCAGAAAATACATGTAACTCTTGCTGCTGGTGGTGGTTCAGGCTGTGTCAACAGTTAGGAATGCTTTCACTACAAATAACAAATAATCCAATTAAGGGTTATATTCTTTCCTGCCTCTGTTGCCTCTCTCCTCCCTTTCTCTCTAAAATACAACCATTCAATTAAAGCATAATTGTGTAAAAGAATGACAACAAAAGCTAACACACTTAAGAAGCACTTAACTATTCCTGGCATAATCAATTGCCAGGTACTGAGCTAAACACTCATTACCCACCAATGAGGAAAGTATGACAATTATGTCCAGTCTCAAAGCAAAGGCTTAGGCAAGTTCAGGAAGTTACTCAAGGCCAAAGAATTCATGAGTGGTGGGCTGGAATTTGAACGCAGATCTATCTAGACTCAAATCTCTGCATGTAACCTTATGCTATGCCACCACAAAGCTGTAGAGGACAGTGGCAGTGTAGTGACCCTGCCAGAGGAAGCTTTACACATTGAAAATCTAATGGCGTCACACCCATGCATAAGCCCCTTCATTAGCATTCCATCACTTTCGGGACAGAGTCTACATTCTTCAGCCTGGCTTACCAGTTCTTTCTTCATCATTTCCCTGCCCATATCTCCAACCTCATCTCTCTCCTTGCTGGATATTCTCTTTCCGAGAGAATATTTGCTCAGTGCTACTCTCTGGCTGGCTGCCCTTGAATTCCTGCAGAACCTTGACTAGACACTCACTCTTCCACCAGAACCTAGACTGCACTGTTCCCTCTGCTCAGAGCATCCCTCCTACTCACTTGGCTCATCACATTTGATTAGTCCCTCAAAACTCAGCTGAGCCGGGCTCAGTGGCTCAGCCTGTAATCCTCCGCCTTCAGGAGGCTGGGGTGAGTGGATTGCCTGAGCCCGCGGGTTCAAGACCCGCCTGGGCAGCGAGACCTCATCTCTACGATAAATCAAAAAATCAGCTGGGCGTGGTAATGCATGCCTGTAATTCCGGTTACTTGGAAGGCTGAGGCGGAAGGATCGCCGGAGCCCAGCAGGTCGAGGCTGCGGTGGCCGGGAGTGGCCACTGCACTCCAGTCTGGGTGACAGAGGGAGACTCCAACTCAAAAAAAAAAGAAAAAAAAAACTCAGCTGAGACTTTGCTCCAAGAAACTCCTGGGGCCCTTGTGACTGGCCACCTCCAGTGTGTCCTGCCATCATAGAGGTCATCAACCTGCACTGTTACCATCTTTCTCCTTGCCTTCTCAGCCTCAGACTCCAAACGTCTTGAGGACAGGCACTGGTTTTGTTTATGATTTAAACCAAGTAGCATAGTGCATAGCTGACCACATAATAGATACACAATATTTGCTGGGGAAAAAATTAGGTGTTAATAATTAACTAAAGCAGTAAGTTTTCACCTTGGGTTGAAGGATTCCTAATGAATCCATGAGGTTTTGTGTACTTGGGGATGGTACACAAAACCCCTGAAATGAGGTGAAAATTTTGAATACTTGTGCATTTTTTAGGAGAGAAAATTCATAGCCTATCTCAAATTCTTAAAGGAATTGTAGTGGAGACAAATCTTAAGAACCACTAAGTGTATGTGGTGTTGTATAAGCCAACACACATTCCACATCTTCTGTCCAGTTACTTGCTTCACTGAAATAAGGTTACACTGATTGTAAGACTCACCCCTATTTTATGCAACACTAAGAAAAGAGGCAAAAGTTTGGCATGCTGCTAACATGATACATCGTAAGACACATCCTAGTTTCAGAGAAGATAAACCAGGAGAAATGATAACATCTTGTATTCTGTCTGGGGTCCCATCCTTCCTTTCAGAGGTCCCTGAGATGTCATGGTAAGGTAGGTGGAGTAACGTCCCTCATTGCAGTTCAGCCAAGTGGACAATCCGGCTGGGCCATATGCCACCAGTGGAGTGCTGGGCAAGTCTTCTTGCCTCTCTGGGCTTCAGTTTCCTCATGTCTAGAATGGAAAAAGTTATGGCAAACCCACAGAGTAACTGGATGGAACACTAAGAGAGTGTAAATACGCTGCCTGGCATTTAGAAGACTTTTGAGAACTTCCCTTTCCCGATGCCAAGCCACATGGGTGGAGGAAGACCTCACTTAATTGAAATCCGTAGTAAGTTGAGAGTTTTAGGGAATTAATTATTCTGCCTGAGGTTTCCCACCTATGCTCATGATTTTTGAGAAAGACCTAATTTTATTTGCCTGCCATTTAGGATGGAACGCCTGTCATCGAGCTCAAGATGATGAGGTTTGGTTCTCTCCCCTGCCCCCCCGTGACTGTTTTGCTCTGTGTTCATGGCATCTGTATTGCTGCTTATTGTGAAAATGTAGAGTTAATTCATGAAGTTTCATTTTACTTCCACAACAAGTTTACCGGTTCATAGTGACAGATTCTCTTTTGAGTTGTTCTCATTGCCCATAATCTACAGCCCTGCAAAGGAAGAAGGGCTTTCCATTGTTCTCTTGTCCTCTCTGAACTCTTGAATGGACCCTCTCTGCTGAGATATTTGTTAAATACAGAGACATTCCTCCTGACTTTCATGGCAGGGAGAGCTGAAATCTCAGACCAGAGAGACAGTTGATTTAGTTGGATGGTGTTGATGTGTCTCCCGGGATGGATTAAAATATTAATACACTTTCTCTCCCCCCACCCCCTTCCTTGTGTTTAGTATTCTTTTTGCAGATGTTAAAGGATTTACCAACCTCTCCACGACCTTGTCCGCGCAGGAGCTGGTCAGGATGCTCAACGAGCTCTTTGCCAGATTTGATCGACTGGCCCATGTGAGTCGAATTTAATTCCCTTCTAGTCTTTCAGGAGTGAGGGACTGCATGTGGAATCAGGGGAAAGAAGGATTCAGCCTCCATCCCCAATGTCATTGCCATTCCGCATCCTGTCTCCAGGCATGGACCCTGACCCTCTCACATTCTGGGGACTGATGTTAGCTATTTACAGGTCTGTGGTGGGAGGTTTGTCAGATTAATGTTCTCAACTGAGAGACAGCTGGTTGAGTGACAATCAAGCCCAAGTCCTTTTTATCTGCCTTCCACACCCCCATAATTGCTTCCCCTGCACGTGGCCAGGTGCCATCCAGCTGCAGCCTCAGTGCTCATACATGCAGTGGAGGCTGCCTGCAGTATCCCAGCCAACCTCAGCCATCTGGAATGAATTAGCCTTTTCTCAGAAACCAGTAATCTACTGGACCATCCCACCACCATTTTGTTCAACCTAACTTAAGAGCTTTGTTTTTAGCCAACAAGACAGTACCTTCATTTTTTCAGCTGGCTTAATCAGAGCTCAACTAAAAAACAGATGAAAGAAGATGGCCATTTGCTAAACACAGATTCATAGTCCTAAAGCCACTCAAGTTACTAAGGAATATCATTATCACACTGTGATTTAGAGTGAGCTTTGGGTTCAAACAGGCATGACTTAATTTCCTGGTTTGTAAATTGTGTATGTTAGTGCCAACCTCACAGGGCTGTAGTGAGAATTAAATAATAACACATCAAATGGGAGTTCATTTTTAGAGGATCAGAATGTCCTTCTTTAAGTCTGCCTCACTCTGGGATATCCAGTCATACTTGACTCTAAGCACTAACTAGGTGTTGTACATGGTGCTACGTGTTGGGAATATGAGAATGATGAAAACACATTTCCTCCTGTCCTAGAGTTAAGCCCAGTCAGGGATACATTGATAGGTAATCAATGCACAATGTGCTTCATTCTATGATGACGGTAAGACCAAGATGCTATGGGAATGTGGAGGCAATGCATAACCCTTGGATCAGAGGTGACTTCCTGGTGAAAGTGACTTTTAAGCTGAGTCTTTAAAATGACATAAACAAATACAACAAAATACTGCTCAGCAATTAAAAGAAGAGAATACCCCACTAACTCTTGAAAAATCAATGACTCCCAAATGCAGTATGCCAAGTGAAAAAGACCAGATAAAAAAAGGCTAGATATCTTGTGACTTCATTTACAAGCCATCCTATAAAAACTACAGTTACAGAGGGAGAAAACGGATAAGGAGTTGCAAGGATGATTGGGAATGGATTGGCTGGATAGCACAGGAGCATGGGGCGGGGTTACTTGGAGGGTGGCTGCAGCCGCTTGATATTTTGATTATGTCTGCACACGCTTGTCAGAAGGGTGAATTTTATTGTACGTAATTTATACCCTGATTAGCCAGGCGAATAAATCAGGGAAGGATATTTTATGCAGAGAGGAGAGCAAGAATAAAGATGCTACTCTATGTCTGTGGCGAAACCAGAAGAGATTGCTGCAGAGGAAAGTGCCTGGTGGGGAGTAGTGGAGAGGACACAGAAAGGTAGGCAGGGACCGGCCAAGAAACTGGATTATAATTTGTAACTACTGGATATATTCTAGATAGGAAGCTGACACGGGTGGAAGAGTAGGTGGAAGCTGAGGTCTCCTCCTAGTAGGGCTGGAAGGCTGGGAATTGGGGGGAAAACATGTGTACTATTCCCTTTTAAGCCCCAGTGGGTGCTTGATGTCAGTTATACATAGTTACTTTATTTCCTCTTAAGTTTCTGAATATTTTTACTCAAAGATACCGAGATGAACAAAAGTGGCCCCCCAATGGGAACTGACAGATGTGATCAAAGTCGATTTCTGGTATCAGGTGACAGTATACCCTACTGACCCAGAGAAAGGAAACAAAGTAAAATGTAATCCAAGTTGTTCAACCAACATTTATTACTTACTAAGTGCCAGGCACTGTGCAAGTCTCTGGGAAGACAAAACCCTCAGGAACCTCAGAGTTGGGCAAAGGAGAATGACAATTCCATAAGGATTTCAGCAGTGTGGGACAAGCAATAGTAAATACAGAAGTTCTGGTGAACAAAGACAGGAGCAGGCAGATGCTTGGGGGCGATGATCTAGTGGCATCCAGAGGAGAAGCCATATGCAGGCTGGGTCTTAAGGAAGAGCAGAAGCTTTCTCTACATCAGATTAGACAAAAAAAAATCATGCCTTCTAGGCTGAGCCATGGTCCAAAGACAGAGGAGTGTGAAAATGTACTGCTTATTTGTAGAGCTGTAAGAAGCTCTAAATTACTAGAGCATACAAGGTATGGAAGAGTCCCGTGAGAGATGAGCTTGAAGAGGGAGGAAGAAGCAAATCTTGGAGGGTGTAGTTCAGCATTTTAAGGAAATTTTTTTTAAGATCTTATAATTATACTCCTGTCTAATCTTTATTACAATAATCAAAATGACTCATAACTAAAAAAGAAAAAAATAAAATGTAACCTATAAAAAAAGATTCACTAGACACATCCTCCATAAGTCACTCAACAGTGTATCTTCATCATCTACCTACAATCTTGTCTAAGATAGAATAGATTAACAATTGTGGCAACATAACAATTTGTGTGGACAACAAGTGTTAATACTTTATAAACAATTCATTAAAACAAACAAAATTACATAAATAAACCTTCAAATTTCACTGTATGCTCGCTAGGTAAAACAGATTACAAACATTCAAGCATTTCTGTTCTTCTGATAGTGGGATACATGTGTGAACCACTTTCTTCAGTTTCTAAAACTGAATCTGATTATTTACCAAACATAAACTTACAATATATACATTTTAAGAGAGAAATTATCTTTGTTCTGATGTTCATGAAAACATTTCTTATTTATATCAGTTACACTTATGGCTTGTAAGTATTGAAACTTTGAAGATACATCAAGATATTAATAGTCTGGTCTCATTTTCTCATTAACATGTAAGTAGTAATACAAATGATTTATAAAACTCTCAATGATTCTTTGTCATTTATTTCCATGGAATAATGTCATCCTGAGCACTCACCTTATGCAGAACTTACAATAATGCTAAATGGGAGCCACAAAAAAAAAACCCTCTTCACTTTGATCTTTTAAAGGAGATTACAGCCGGGCTCGGTGGCTCAGCCTGTAATCCTGCGTCTTTGGGAGGCTGAGGTGAGTGGATTGCCTAAGCCCGCGGGTTCGAGACCCGCCTGGGCAGCAAGATCTCATCTCTACAATAAATAAAAAAATCAACCGGGCGTGGTAGCGTGCGCCTGTAGTTCCCGCTACTTGGAAGGCTGAGGTGGAAGGATCGCCGGAGCCCAGCAAGTCGAGGCTGCGGTGGCCGGGAGAGGCCACTGCACTCCAGTCTGGGCGACAGAGTGAGACTCCAACTCAAAAATAAATAAATAAATAAATTTTAAAAATAAAGGAGATTACACATCAGTGTTCTTCATCCTCCATGAAAAACATGAGGTGACTGCTGGTGACCTACTATACAAGAACATTTCTTAGTTCTAATGTACCCATAACTGACCCCATGCTTTTACATAAGCACTACAAATGAAGGTTTAGCATCATGTGTATTGAGTTACATCAATATTGTTTGCTTTTCACAATATCCTCCAATTCTGTCAATGCACAACCAAAAGTATACAGGAAATATACTTATGCTTTCCTAGAAACACAGACACACAAAAATCTTCTAATGCCACTCAATATCTTACATTTATTTCAACTTGACTTTTCAGTAAATAAGTTTCCATATGAATTGCATCTATGATGTTTTCAGTTTGATTACCCTAAAGTTCCCAATGACATATATTTTGAACAAAGGCCAGTCCACATTCTTTAAATGTGTAGATTCTATCCAATGCACAGTCTAATGTCAAACAAAGATTTTGCCAGTTAATGTCTTTAGACTTTTTTACATTTGTACATTCAAATGACCTGTAGTATAAATAAAGATAATAGTACTCTTTTACATCTGCAAATTTCTCACCATGTCTCTAGGGTTTATAACTTGATGATTTTGGAGTCATTACAGATATTGAAAATTTAGAGAATAAGTTCTCTGATGTTGAGAAACCTTGAAATAACAGTGAAAAGTTATATCCCATTCTGCACATCGATAGGGAATCCCTAAACATAGACATTCATATGTCAACCAAGTATTGGATGAAACCTAAAGCCTTTATCACATTCCTCTCATTTGTATAGTTTCATCTCAGTATGGATTCTCACATGTCCACCAGTTTGTATATGAGAGCAAAAGCTTACCACACTTTTCACGTTTGTAGACATCCTATCCAGTATGGATGATCATGTGTCCAGCAAATCTATTGAGACTGAAGGGCTTTGCCACATTCTTCACATTTGTAGTGTTTCTCTCCAGTATGGACAGGCTTATGTTCAGTAAATACTTTATGAGTGAAAATCGATGCCACATTCTACACATTTGTACAGTTTCTCACCAGTATGGCTTCTCATATGTATAGCACATCATTTGAGAGAAAAAGGTTTTGCCACATGTCACATTTGTAGGGTTTCTCTCCAGCATGGAATGTCTTATGTTCAGCAAATTCTTTGTAAGTGTGAAAAGCTTAGCCACACTTTTTACATTTGTAGCGTTTCTCAACAGTATGGATCTTGACAAGTCAAGCAATTAGTGACTTTCCCACATATATCACATTTGTAAGGTTTCTCTCCAGTATGGATGGTCATGTGTCATGTGTCCAGCAAATCAATTGGGAGAGTGAAGGACTTTGCCATATTCTTCATATTTGTAGGGTTTCTCTCCAGTATGGACAGTCTTATGTTTAGTAAATACTTTATGAGAGTGAAAGGTTTTGCCACATTCTTCACATTTGTAGAGCTTCTCTCCAGTATGGCTCCTCATATGTATAGCAAATTGAGAGCAAGACTTTGCCACATTCTTCACATTTGTATAGTTACTCTCCAGTGTGGATGGGCTTATGTACAGA